GCTGTCCATTTCTTCTGATCCTCCTTGAGATGGTCCTGCTCCTTCATTGGAGTCTAGCTGTGTTTAATTAAACTGATTGGACTTGATTAGGAAAGGCACACACCTGTCTATATAAGACCTTACAGCTCACAGTGCATGTCAGAGCAAATGAGAATCATGAGGTCGAAGGAACTGCCCAAGGAGCTCAGAGACAGAATTGTGGCAAGGCACAGATCTGGCCAAGGTTACAAAAGAATTTCTGCAGCACTCAAGGTTCCTAAGAGCACAGTAGCCTCCATAATCCTTAAATGGAAGAAGTTTGGGACGACCAGAAAGAAGAACCCAAAGATCACTGTGGCTGAGCTCCAGAGATGCAGTAGGGAGATGGGAGAAAGTTCCACAAAGTCAACTATCACTGCAGCCCTGCACCAGTCGGGGCTTTATGGCAGAGTGGCCCGACGGAAGCCTCTCCTCAGTGCAAGACATATGAAAGCCCGCATAGAGTTTGCCAAAAAACACATGAAGGACTCCTAGACTATGAGAAATAAGATTCTCTGGTCTGATGAGACCAAGATTGAACTTTTTGGTGTTAATTCTAAGCGGTATGTGTGGAGAAAACCAGGCACTGCTCATCACCTGCCCAATACAATCCCAACAGTGAAACATGGTGGTGGCAGCATCAGGCTATGGGGATGTTTTTCAGCTGCAGGGACAGGACGACTGGTTGCAATTGAAGGGAAGATGAATGCGGCCAAGTACAGAGGTATCCTGGAAGAAAACCTCTTCCAGAGTGCTCAGGACCTCAGACTGGGCCGAAGGTTCACCTTCCAACAAGACAATAACCCTAAGCACACAGCTAAAATAACAAAGGAGTGGCTTCGGAACAACTCTGTGACCATTCTTGACTGGCCCAGCCAGAGCCCTGACCTAAACCCAATTGAGCATCTCTGGAGAGATCTGAAAATGGCTGTCCACCAATGTTCACCATCCAACCTGACAGAACTGGAGAGGATCTGCAAGGAAGAATGGCAGAGGATCCCCAAATCCAGGTGTGAAAAACTTGTTGCATCATTCCCAAGAAGACTCATGGCTGTACTTGCTCAAAAGGGTGCTTCTACTCAATACTGAGCAAAGGGTCTGAATACTTATGACCATGTGATATTTCAGTTTTTCTTTTTTAATAAATTTGCGAAAATTTATACATTTGTTTTTTTCTGTCAAGATGGGGTGCTGAGTGTACATTAATGAGAAATAAAATGAACTTTTTTGATTTTAGCAAATGGCTGCAAAGAAACAAAGAGTGAAAAATTTAAAGGGGTCTGAATACTTTCCGTACCCACTGTATATTTCAAAACTCTGTCGTAAAAAAACTCACTTGCGGCACCCTCCTCCCCCTTTCTACCGCCGCTGATGTGCATTTGTTGCCGGGCAGCTCTAGGAAGTAAGCTGAATGTCCGTGGGCAAGTCATTTACTGTAATTTAATGTCAGGGTGTGTTACCTGACACACATATCCTGGCTGGGATAACATCGGTCTGATCCGCTTTGTTTGTTTCCCATTTACAGAGCCTGCCACCAGATTGTTTTTCAGTGTACACACGTATTTTTGGAGCTTGATCCATACTGGAGACAATGAGTGAGGGTATTTAGTATTTTACTGCATTTATTTCGACAGTATTTGACAAATAGGAATCTCCAAAGTAACTAGTTGCTACAGCTGTCAGTTAGAAGTGATCACAGTCGCTGTTCTCCATCAATGAGGAAACTAGAAAACCTCACAATCACAAACTATACTATCACTTTAACATGTATACACATGTTATGTGTGTAGGCCCTGTGTGCTTAGTGAGACTACGAGAGATGTGTCAGGGTTCAGCAGTCCTTCTGACATGCATACCAATGCTGCTGAATCACCTGATGACTCAAAAACCTGCATCCCGTTTAACTATTTACTGTGATCCTATCAACAGTCGCACCTGCCATCTCTTTGAACTAGTGTGTGGCCATGTTTCTAGGATGTATCACTTACAAACACACAGACACAAAAACACAGTAACTGACACAGGTAGAGAACAGGGGGAAGTTTTAAAGACTCCTGGGTCTGACTTTAGAGGGGTTTAGGAACAGGGAGTGGAGAGGCTGACTTGAAAGTGTTACTATGTAATAAATACACAGATTACATTAGCTTGCTACATTAATTTTTAAATGTTTATAATCCGTTAGTATTAGTCATTTTTTAAAAATGTATTTTCAATTTGGGGCTTTTTGCTTTTATTGGATAGGATAGCTGAAGATTGACAGGAAGTAGGTGAGAAGAGGGGATGACACACAGCAAAGAGCCACAGGTCAGACTCAAACCCATGGCCACTGCAGCAAGGACTGGGGCATGGGGTGCCAGCTCTATCAGGTGAGCTACCAGTAATAGTCACTTTTGAAATTACAATGTTGTGTCTCAAAAATCTCCCTTGTTCTTGTTAGATGTTTGAGCTTCACTGTGCAGAATTTGACACTAAAAGGATGTTTTCTTTGAAAGTGGTAAGTTTCCCTGTGCTCATTGGAAATCAGAATTTTAAGGGCATGATTTGTGACATCACAAATAGTTTACAAGTCAGTCCTGGTCCAGGGTGCAACTTGTAAGTGTGATGTAGAAACTTGAAGCCACCAGTGGACTTTACAGTGAAATGGGAGACATCTTGAATGCATTAGGAAAACTTTAGAATTTTCATATTCATGGATTTTTAATCACTTAGAAGGAGTAGATGGGTTTTTAAGGATTTTACTGTGGAAATTATGTGTTTTCTTGCAGAAAAAGTATATTAGACACACATTATTGTTCCAAGCAGACTATTTGTATATGTCATAATTTATGTCTGGAGGGGATCTTTAAGTAATCTCAAATGTCTTCTGTGTACATGAGCTGTCACACGCATTCACTTTACTATGCCAAAACACAATCTTAAACTCCTGATCAGAGGAGACCAGTAGCACTGGAGGCAGGTGAGTGAAGGACTGAGAGTAAAGGGGGAGGAAAGACAAGACAACCTGGCATGGTAGCCAAGATAGATGCTAAGAGTTAGTGCAAAGACAGACATGCCTCAGGCTCGTGTTAGCTGGGGATTAACATAGACTTTAGCAGGATAATTTAAGCCTTTGGACAAAGAGGCTTCGGCGAGGTGGAAGATAACTGCATCTGATAGTCCATGTTGTCCTGATGGCATGGAAAATTCCACCACCGCCTTCCTACCTGTCTACTTCTCTCAGACGAGCTACGGTCTTAGCTGCAACATCCTTATTCAGGCTGAAGTAACGAATGTTCTAGAACTCTAAATGGGTAGAAATGTTGAGAAAAAAATTATGCATATTGGAAGATTCCCTCAGGTATACAGGTGCTGCTGCAGAACATAATGTGTTGTTCAAAAAAAGAGCTGATTGCTGTCTTCATGGTCTGATGAAGACTTCATGCCAAAACATGTCAGCAAATGTTGTCAGTCTGTTGACTGCTGACTGCTGATGAAATTCACCCAAAAAAAGCTATGCATTGGGTAAATCTTTGTTTTCACTGCCTTTGTTTTTAGGAAACACAGACATTACCACAGTAGATTCTTTGACTCACCTTAACAAAAGAGACACTGTGGGCTCCGCCTTTTATATATCGCTGCAGGCTTTCAAAAAGTATGTTTCTCTGGAAATAAGAGAATAATTGAAATACACTCGAAGTCACACTCACATAATGTTGATTGTGTACAGTTTTAAAAGTCCCTGGGGGCTGTGGAACTTTTACTTTTCCAAAGATGCAATCTTTAGATTCAGAGAATCTTAGATTGAGAAGAAGGAATGAGTTATTCTCCTATTCTTCTCTCCTTGCCTGCTTACAAGTCTAAACATATAATAATGTCTTACAGCACCTATTATTCTAGCCATGTAAGATACTGTAAAAGCACTGAGGTCCTGAGCTTTGTCCTCTTCAATTTTAACTTTAGGTTGATTGATATGTTTGGCGATATTTTATTTTAATTGTATTCTACAATTATTGCTTTTTAAGAGGCTTTGTTTAAAAGCTAAAAGCTAAAAAAAAACATGTTTAAAATCTGTTTTATTTCCTTGATATCATTTTCAATGTTTATTCACGTTTTTCCAGAACAACTGAATTCTGATTTGTGCGACACAATTTAAAAATTGATTGTGAAGGGTACTACATCTTTTAACTTTTCCTCTTTAGGCATCTTTAACTTGTCTTTTTCATAACACTTTAGGAGGTCTCAGAGTTGAGTCTTTAAAGAGCAGGAATTTATTAAAATATATTTTAAAAAAGCCTGAGTTCTCTTATTTCTGTATAGACGATGCTCTTGTGAGACCATCTAACTTATGGTGTGACTTTAAAACTCCCAGTACGGCAAGCAACTGCAAAAGGACAACCTGTCCTTAAAGCCACAGTCACGGCTCAGTTCAACAGAGAGAGGGGGAAAGTCTAGACCACAGTATAAAGGGTCAAAAGAAGAAAGGGGATCTAGAGGTGAAGGGTCAGAGGTCAATACCAACCAGTGGGAACAAAAAAGGGTGAATTTCTGTTAACAATGGCACACACAAAAGCCAAGGACTGTGTACTCCAAATGTTGTGCAAGTTGTGTGTTGACCCAGTGTGAGGACAAATAATCATTTATCTTTGTCTAAATGATTCGTTTTTTCTAAAGGTCTTTTATAGTTTGAAGGTTTAAAGGCATTTAGAAGTCTCCCAAAACTTACATCAGCGTGCCATTGCATCTACAGCGTCTGCTCTTATTTTTCATTGTGATACTGATGCTTTTGTGACGGCTGCAATTGCTCAATACTTAAAATATGGAAAATATGACGCAGGCATAAACTATGTGAGCAGGTAGTCATTTAGACAACATGCACTTATAATTACAGCTCGGGACAGCCGCGCTTTACGTTTGCCTCAAGGCAGGTTTGTTCAATAAAAAAGATTAACATGGCTGTTACAGCTGTTTGTCTTGTGAAGCGAAGGACGTGAAACAATAGGAGCTGACTCTGATAGTATAGCTTTATTACACTGACAAAGTTGATTGGACATTACATAGCAACATGTACCTTCTTTATGGACAACAAAATCATACATACACCAACACACAGAACAGACAGTGTTAAGCACAGGCAAAGTGGTGGAGAATCACATGATCAAAGTGACAGCAGTCTTTTCTTGAGTTTCGTATGGGGTGTGAGGTGTTTTCACAATGATTTAGCACTGTAATGATCAGAAGCTAAAAGGAGCATATCACATGTTTGTCAGACAGATGCGCAGCTCCTCACAATCCCTTCTCTTTATTTACAACATGGCAGTGGTTTGTCTTGGATTGATTAGGTGGCTGTGTTCATTGTTCATGGCACTGTTCATTCACCACTGGTCTTCCAGCTGGACCAGGTTTAAGGAAGAGGCTAATTATCAATACAAAAATATAGTACAGCAATTTTCTTGTCATAGCAAACATTCATACCTGTCCGTCAATGGCCCAGTCACATCAGCAGCCATTCAGATTTAAAAAAAACAAAAAACAAAACAAAATCTGCTACACAAAGCAAACATAAAAGGGGGCATTGACCACAGCAGTGGTTTGAAAGTTTTAGCCCATTAGCAACAAACTGTTTACTCTGCATCACAGCTAACCAGGCTTATATTTCAGTTTCCATTCATTCCTGTACAATATGAATATCAGACAACTTACTTAAGTTGTGTAATCCATCACAGTATATCACATATAAATGTGCTGAAGGAAGCAGACATTTGGCTATTTTCAATAATATTTCAGTCATAAATGTAAAACTCATATTGAGGATTAGTAGTGGATTACTACAGGAAACTGATTTTTTCATTCAATACATGATGCATCTGCTATCCTCAGCAATTGGCATTCGTCTAATAGTCCATTATTGATATGATCATCAATTGGCACATTACATTATGACATAACGTAGTCTGCATTACCTCACAGCAATAATATATAAATAATAATAATGTGTGAACGTTATGTAGAATATGATGGATTACACAACACAAGAAAGTTTAAAGAAGCTACAATTCACTCTGTTTATTCTGGCAGCTCCTGTGGACTGAAGCGTTAGTGTTTCCACTGCCTTGTTTCATGACCAGTTTAAAACTCCTTGTAGTAGGTTTAAATAATCTGAGTTTCATCCTGGGCTGAAATTAATGGAAGCCAGTGTCTGCCTAGAAAAATAGATACATAAACTAAAACTGTAAAGCATGCTTTTAAAAAAGGTCAACGAACATGTAAATTGTACATTTTGAGTTGTGATGTGAGTTCTCTTTAAACATCAGAATATGTCTTCATAATGGCTTAATGCAGATACAGTGATACACAGCTGTCACTGATAGTCACATAATAACATACTGCTGGTTTGAAGCCAGAGGAACGCAGGGACCCTTCTGAGGTAAAAGTTTTACTTGAGGCTTCCAGAAAGGAACAAGAAACTCTTTGTTGAAATGTTGACCAAAGGTTATTTAATAAAATGCTGAAGAGTTACTTTTAGGTCTCTGATTAAATGAACCAAACATGAGTCTGGCTGCAAACTGCAAGGTATCATTTTATCAGTTACGGCATGTTCTCTGTCAATAAAATATAAGTCATACAAAACAGACAAAAGAACTGACACACATAAGCGGCTCGGACAGTTCATCAATTGACAGAAAAAACGCAGTACACGGCTCTCATTTGTTCTCCTTCTTCTTTCCAAGAAAACCTCAAAGCTTTCAAGCGTGTGGATGTTGTTAGAGTTGTACTGTACTGACATGACGTTTCAGGTTTAAAAAACAAAACAAAAAGAAAAAAACTAAAAGGAAAATACCAGGCGATTCTAACCCTTTTTACTTGGAAACATCTGGGGCTTTCACACAGGTGATTCACGACGAGGCTGCGAGACCAGTTTTTTTTCCAAGCAAATCAAAAGCTAAACGTCCAAAGATAATTATACAAATAAAGCATCCAGTGTACTGCACACAGGCAGCAGTTTTTTTTTTCCCACCCCACACCTACGCTGCCCTTCCCCCTGTTACCCACTTCCAGAAAGCCTTGGTTTACTTACCCGAGGCACCACAATCTGTCAAAAACATGCTTCATTCTCTCTGAGTGCCTGCACGGGGCATGCAAGGGTGGCATATAGTCTTTTTCTTGCCGTGTGGAGGTGTGACATATTCTACACGACACAATACATGGCCATTAGTCAAACATTCACATTACAGGCAGTGAAACGGTTCCGTGCCACATCCGCATATCGAAGCTCAAGCCACCCAGAGGAGAGCGGAAACATAAAATCTATCCTCTCCCTGTGTGGGCGCAGCAGTCAATGAGACTTTTTGGGTGTTTGATGAATAGTGTTGTGCTTCTGTGACAGTGGCTTTGTCCGTTGGGAGTCTTCGAGGAGGAGTTCCTGGGCCTTGTAATTGTCTTGTCGAGGACGCAGGAAGGCTGACCTTACACTCCCCGGGGTCGCTGAAAGGTCGGAAAGGTTGGCCGAGGTCGATAAGGTCAGCCCTGTAGTTCGTGGAGAACTGTCGTTCAGGGATGCTCAAGAAGGTCGATGATCTATGTACATTGGGTCAAAGCTCCTAAAACTGTCCGTGTTTTCCCTCAGCATACAGTGTCCAGTGTTTGGCAAGTATATACAGTAGTTCTTCATCATCTCACTGCTTTCTTCCTTGCTCTTTTTTTCTCAATTTCTGAGTCTTTTTCCACCAATCTTCCCTCCATTTTCCTCCCTCAGGTGCAGCAGTCTCGCTCCACGTGGCAAAAGAGGGGGGATGGGGTTGGCAGGGACGTGGAGGTGAAGTCGGATGAGGAAGATGTAGAGGAGGAAGCAGTGGTGGTGGAGGAGGCGAGGAGGGAAGGGTAAGGGCTCATCTTGTCGATGTTGACGTAGGTGGTGTTGAGCAGGATGTAGTGCTCCCCGCTGAAGCTTGAGAAGATGGCGGAGATGCGTGACACCAGCTCGGAGAAGGAGGGACGCCGCTCCGGCTTTGGGTGCCAGCACTCGATCATCACCGTGTAGCTGGAGGGTGAGGGAGAGGAGTCAGAAGGAAACTCACCACCAGAGGAGTAAACAGGTTTCAGTGCTTGGCTAAAGCAATTATCTTTAGCATATGTCAATAATTACACTAGATAAAGTGTTAACTGTGTGTTAAGTGTGAAGCTCTCTTTGGCAATATTGCTTTTGAAATAACAACTTGCACAAAAGTTAAATTGGTCTCGATATAGTACTAAAATGATGAAACAGTTAATCAATGAATTGATCAACAAACATTTACTTTTAAAGTTTGAATATTTTAAACTTTTCTCTGATTATATCACAGTGAATATCTTTTCTTTTTGGACTGTTGGTTGAACAAGAATCATTTGAAGACCTAATGACATTGGAATCTGGGAAATTGTAATCGTTTCTTTTCACTAAACAGCTGACCCTTCCTAAGCCCCGCCCCTTTTTGCTCTGCCCCGGTCAGAGCCTCGGACAATATTGAAAACACCACCGCATTGTGGAGATGGTTTAAAGAGAAATACGCATATATAGAGTCACTTTTCAAGTTAGCTATTGTTAGCAAAATGCTAGCTGACTAGCTAACTAAAGAGTGATGTAATTAGCTAAATAGTTAGTAAGCATTTTGGTTTCGGATGTAACTAGCTAGCTAACAATTGATGTAGATTAGCTAGCTTGCTCAACTGTTATTGGAGCACAGAGCAAAAATGGCTGGGATTAAGGAAGTCCACAGATTTAATCTGCATTTAATGTATCCCTTATTGATAAATACTTATGGAAATGTATCTTAATTTTGCATAATGCATTTAGTTTGTTGTTTTCATTGTTACCTACTGTAAATTCTCTTGTTCTCATTTTTTAGACGCCTGTAGCAGCATAAAGTCGTGCCTCCCTTTTCCTCTTGTAGAGCTTTTTAATGTAACAATAAATCCTTTATTAGCTACCATGGGAACCTGAAAACTTTAAGTTTTCAGCTTTATCAGAAAGGCCTCATTATATAACGCTACAATAGATATTAATAGCTCATTTCATCACTCAGTAGTCCACAAACAAACTGTAAATTATTCCTCCCTCACTTCTGTTATGCATATGAAATGATAAGGTCTTACAACTGCTAATTATTTCAATCTGTCCCAAAGATAAGTTAGACTTTCACACCAACAATCCATCATTTTTATCATTTTGCAACAAAACCTTCACTCTGTCAGAAGTTGGCGTCTCTGATATTTCCATTATTATTTTTTCCTTTTTTCCCTCACTTGGCAGAGCCACCCTATCATTGTTAAAAATTAAGGCCCCATTACCACACGTCCAAGGTATCTGTCTGCCATTAACTGCTATCAGCGAAACATTCAGTGAACGATCAGGGATGAAGAATTGCGGGAATGTTTGCAGATGTGCATCACCTCCTGACGTCTGTTTAATTTACAGCTTGGGAACTTTGGGCCTCTGCCTCCCTCACCTGAACACTCCCACTCCCCTCTAATTTCCACACACACACTATAGACATGCAGTGCACCTCATCATGTTATCTGCAAGGTATGACATCACACTTGGCCTTTGTTCTTACAGTACCAGTGGGTCAGAGTTTAATTGATAAGGACAGCTCAGATATTGTAGTGTTAACTGAGTTGATGTGTGTGCTGTACTGACACTGAAATACTTTCCTGTGATTTGATATGAAGTTTTATCAAAACTGTATATTCTACTTCTTTTTATCACTCATTAGTAGAGGTTGCTCTTGTGTAAGCCAGAAAACTGAAGAAAAAAAAGGTAAGCTCAGCACTGCCAACACTGATCTCTATGATAGGTGCTCTTTGGGAGCACCAGCAACAAGTGCTTAGCAACAAAAAGAGACAAACATAAAAAGAAACACGATACTGGCATTGGATTTCCATTTAAAGCTCGCTTTGTGTTTTGGAGTTAAGCAAGAAAAGTGACTTTTATTTGACCCACAGCTGTGACGAGATGTAACGCTCGACTGAAAAGACCGAAGAGCTGTGAGTTTGTTTTAGACTCTTGCTGAGGTACACGATGGATGGTCTAAACTTGAGTGCTTTTTATTTATGACTTCCATCGCTTATGCAGCACTTTCACCTTCACTGTGTTCCCCTGCTGCTCTCTCTCTGATTTCAGAGCCTACCTCCCTCTTCACGATGTCTTTAAGTGCAGCTCTACAGTATATCACCCACACTAACCGAGCTGTGGCAATTTGCTAGAGGAGGTGAATGACAGGTGAAAAGTATGTATATATATATGTGTGTGTGTGTGTGTGTGTGTGTGCTCGCACTTACAGGGCGTCAGGGCAGAACTCGGGCTGCAGCAGCCTCCTCCCTTGCAGGAGGAACACGGTGATGTCAAAGGAGTTCACATCAGAATATGGTGGGGCTCCACGGGTCATTAGTTCCCATAGCAACACGCCAAATGACCACTATAGGAAGCACAAAGAAATTAACTCTTTATAGCACACTTCTATGATGTTTTTTTGTTGAAATGTAAAAAGAAAGAGGTGTTATAATGTTACAATTTTCCACTGCAAATGGACTACAATGTGACCAACTCCTCACCACGTCTGACTTGGAGGTGAACTTGTGTGTCTGCAGACTCTCCAGAGCCATCCATTTGACTGGCAGCTTGACTCCACTCTTGTTGTGGACGCTGTAATATTCTTTATCATAAACGTCTCTAGCCAGACCGAAGTCTGCCACCTTCACTGTGTAGCTCTCATCCAGCCTGTCAGGGCAAAGAAGAAATTACTTTTTAATTAATTATTATCTATTTTGCTCGCAGCTTTGTTCTTACAAATCAGCTCTTCCCAATTTTCCCTCTATTTCATTCTAAGCGTATTAATTTTCTTTTACTTTCAGCAATGATCTCCTTTTCTCACCTTGGTCTTGCTCTATAACTCCTCTCTGCTTGACACTGTATTATTATTTAACATTCTCTTGTGTTATTTCAATGCTGTCCTATGCTTTTTTTGTCTTCTGTTCCCTTTTCTTCCCTTCCCGATCATATTTCGTTCTGTTTAAGTCTGGTCTATGAGCTTGCTCTCTGTGTAACACACACTCATGTGATATTGAATTAATAACTGTGAACTTACATGCAGTTCCTGGCAGCTAGGTCTCGATGGACAAACTTCTTGCTGGCCAGATACTCCATCCCTCTGGCCACCTGCAGCCCAAAGCCCATCAGGTCTTTCACTGTCGGGTTCTGTAGGAAACACCACCGTTAAAGGATTGTGAGACAAAATGGCCGACTTTGTTTGGAATCTCTTTTTTCCAACTGCGTTGACAGATCCATGCAGGATGTACTATACATCTCAGTTGCAATCACTGTTTTGTACATCATTTTAAAGTAACACAACTTCTGAACAGGGATTCTCAAAATGGTTCACTATGTGTTGCATAATAAATCCCAAAATGCATGTATTCTGTGTTTGCCCTTACGTGTCCCTCATCGCGGATGAAGTTGCGCAGGTCGCCATGCTTCATATACGGCAGAACCACCAGTGGCGAGCCCTCTGGCGGCAGGCAGATTCCCAGTAGAGACAGAACGTTAGGATGGCTGAAGTCCTTCATGATGATCCCCTCCTTCAGGAACTGGGACACCTCTTCCAGATCTGTGATGCCTTTATAGAAAAAAGAAAAAAAAAAAACATTTACATTCTAGAGCAAATAAATGGCAGGCAGAGGTGGTAATGTGAGGTATTTCTTTCAGACTATGGTGGAGGACATGGAGCAACTCAGCTGTACTGACATCAGCAGGAGGGTCATTCCTTATATGATGGTAATCAAGAAAAATAATTAAAAAAACCCTCCCAGAGTATCCTCACCCTCACCCCAAACCTGACCCATGCCAAACTCCCATTTGCCAATTGCATCCCTGCCTCTGATGTCCCGCACTTTAGCCCCACTGACCCTACTGTAATCTTGTTAGAGATGGAAACTGTTTACGTCTGGAGAAACCAGCTGATTGGCCTTAGGCCCCAAAGATAGAAAGAGATGACATTTGATTTCAGAGCTTCAATGTGGAAGTTAAGAAAGAAAATGACATTGTTGTGTAGAGGATAGATATGCCTTTGCATCTCCAGCTCTTCTACTCTTAACTTATCTTAGTATATTAGGATAAAAGCGCTTCAACTCAAGGTCTCAAATATAACAAAGGAATGCAAAAAAAAAAACAATGACGGGGTGCCCTGAGAAATCACTAAACCTAATAAAAAGGTCAAAATCCCAGGGGACAAGCTGCACTGTGGTTGGTAGCTCCTTGTGATTGCACTGAGCTTTCCTCCATATTACTCCAGCATCAATCTCCCTGGTCCAACTGACAGCTTACACGATTAGGGGGGACCCTAATGCCGTCCTCACGGTCAGATGCTCATTCATCACCATCAACTCAGCCAAAAAGGATTCAGGGCTCTGATGAGATGAGATTCTTAATGCTATTGGAGCATTGTGATATCATACAATAAGTATGCAATAAGCAGATATAGGATGGAAGAATTATGGTTGGTTGTGCTGCATTTGATTTTAAGTCTCAACTAGGGACTCCCAAGTCCCTATCAAATAAAACAAAACATAAACTATCACTTTAAATTGGTCAAGGAGTGCATTTTGTTAGTTTAGCTCATGGCAAGGTGTTTCATAAACATGGCTTCCCAGTCAACAGTCAGCAAATATAATTTTTCACAAGACTGCATGCTTTTAAGACTTCTTTTGAAACTTGAGTTTTAGGTATCCATGACATCAGAAATAACTGAATTTCCGTTTTCAACTTTAAACTCCTGTAAAATTATTTTGCTGAAATTAATATTGCCGAAAACTGGCTTTTATACTAAGGACACTGTTCTAATATCAGTTAATGGCAAAATACCCCTTTCGTTATTTCTACTGGGTTTGGCTGACCTTTATACGCGTAAAGGGGTTTGTACTTACGGTTAAGGGACTTGACGGCACAGTGCTGCTTCTGCCCATCTGGCTCAAGCAGAGTTCCATGAAAAACACAGCCGAAGTGACCTGCAGGTTACAACATGATGTATTTGTCAGAATGAATCAGTATTAGTGAGTTGAAAAGCTCATGTTCAAACATGTAACTCCTTCCAAATAACATTTCTTCGCCCACCTCACACAAAACAAGCCTCTCTGAAAGATGTCCATTTTAGAAAGTGACACATGAGATGCACCACGTTCAGGCCCAATGACTATGAGGGCCCGCTGTAAAGTGGGTGAGCAATGGCATCCAGACCCATGTCAGCTGGCAGGAATCAGGTAGTACTTTAGGATGTGAACCAAAGATTTATTTTTCTTTCTTCTCTTTCTTTTGTCTTGTTTGTTTTTTGAGCTTGCATGTGTTGAGGAGAATGTCTGCTGACTACCTGTCAGTAGTGAGTTTCACCTGGGAGGGAGGTTTCCGGCTCATACCTCCCAATATATATATAATCCAATATAAGTTACTATTGGAACGTCAAGGGCATGATCCCTCACCGGCTTCCCATCGCCAAGTGCAGTCTTTGAAAAGCATGACCAAGCCAGAGGTTCCATTGCTAGGAAATTAATCTTTTTCTCAGCTTTGGTAGATTTGAACTTTGCCACTGCACTACCTGTGCACCCCACAAACAAATGCTTTAATCATAAAGCTGGCTGGGTGGTTTGTTATATGTGATGATACTGTAATGGCTTACTAAAACCCCCAAGGCCCAAGCAGAATAGACAGCAGACATAAAATGCTGATGCTTCACTGGTGACACGGCAGCACCACCATCTGAATTTCACCATGACTAAGAAAACATCGCTAGAGGTTATAGATTTATCTTCGCACAGCACAGATGAACACTGAGAGCTACTGACAACCAGATTCCAGTTCCTTGTATATGTGAAAATACTTGGCCAAGCAACTTGAATGTTGCTTAATGTACTCATGGATGAGCAAGTAAACCAAAGTTTCTACATCTTGCCCATAAATGGTAACTGTATTACCGATTAACTTTCAGAAAGACATTGCAGGCCATTTGGGGATTTTGTGCAATCAGCAACCTTTGTTTTTTTTATCTTGGCTTGCTGAAACCTTCTTGACAGAGCTACTATGATTAAGATCACGCGTCCAGCCAGTTGGCTCTATGATCACAGCAGTTCTAGAAATCAGATAAATTAAATCCTGTCCACTGCTGACACATAAAAATCAAAGTTTGGAACAGAGGGATCGAGGTGATTTCATTTAGTGCATGCAGTTTTTTATGCAATTTGGTGGAAGAAACTGGCTTATTTTGAAAGTATGTCTGACTCTTGTGTGTGTTTCGCCTGTTTTCACACCTTTAACAGCTAATTCTGATTATCTTAAATTACCAACACTAAATCTGCCCCCTCAAGTAACCCAGTATGAAGCTTTTTTTTATTCATTAATACCCCACACAAGCTAATAGACTCTGCCAACCCCCCTTGAGTTATTGTGCATTTTATTGAATTATATCTCTTAAGACATGAGGGCTTGCCCCAGAATGGGAGGGGTGCAGGAATAAAATGAGCGCGGCGTTCTCCTATCACGTCCTCGCAGATGGCTGAGGGTGTTGGATTTCGACTCCCAACAATGGACCCTGGGAATACTAGCTGTGAACAAATCATCCTACGCTACTTAAAAAAATCCTGCCTCAAAATCCTGGCTCTTTTCTTCAGGGATAATTCAGCCGAGGGGGCAGGGTTTGGGGTCTTTCTCCTCTTGATGTTAAATTTGATCTGTGTGTCTGACCCACCTACTTACAGGGTACAATATGGGGTGATTTTGTGTCTGCATGTCAAGCTTGCGGTTTGATGAAGCAGGCAATTAAGCTCTTGAATTTAATCTAAGCTCATTGGATGATTGTATCACTCCAGATCAGATACAATTCCATCATGAATTGTTTGCAAAAAATATTGTTTTTGTTATCATTTCACATTTTTAGTACCTAAAGTCAGAAGTAATAAAAATTAACCTTTAAGACACTGAATGCTAAATGTATTGAACGTAGGTCTTTGAATTAAATAAAACGTGAAAGTCCATAAACAGACTTTGACATAAGAGAGACTGGAAATGTATATTCTGCATAGAACCTTGAAAGTAGGGGTTGATATAACAAAATAAAGTTTCATCGATGAATTAAGGATGTGATCACAACAACATGATTGATTAACCAATCTATTCAAAGTGGGTTTTTTGTATTAGCAATTTAGCATTTTCTATGTCTCTTTTTTGCATGTTGTTGCATTTTGACACAGTGTATGTAAGTTGGGGCAGATGTACACATTACAGTATAAAATTTTAGAAATATGTAGTAATAGCTAGCTGATACAGAGTGAGAATTTTTCTTACACAATCTAGGAAAAAATATTGGTACAGCTCATTACAGAATAGATGCAGGAACAACCAAGAAGCAAGACAACAGTGGTGTACATCAGTGTTAATGCAATGCTTGTACTTAGGCAGACACTGATTGGTCGGACAATCCTTAATGCTTTATTGAATTTTTAAAATCTGTTTTATTTTTCATTGATATTTGCGATTATGCACATCCATTTGTAGCTGATATAAAAACCCATAATCCTGAATAGGTTCTGGCATTGTTGCTACACTGGTACTTGGATTAATGATTGCACAGTTCTGCATATATGCTTTAAAGCCATTGACATAGCTGTTTATATTGAATGGATCTTTATACATAACATTTTCAACTAAATAAAAGTCTGCTTTGCTACTTTATTTTGCACATTTGCAGCCAAAAATCCTTTTTCTGGGAAATGCACAAGAGATGATACATTTTACATTTAATCTTGTTTAGAGTAAGTAAAAGAAGAACTGGCAAGAGCTGTACCATGGATAAACAGACAAAACTCACACATGAAAGCAGTGCTGAAAAACTACAGTAATGTCCAATTAGCTTCAAACATTTTACCAAAATATGAAAACATTACCACTAGATTAGTGTGGGAGGCCTAGAGATATTTAAAAATGATTCATTACAAGAGTAGAGAAACTATTTCTGTGACTGACCTCTGCCAATGACCTGGTGGAGGTGGAGCAGCAGCTGCTCCCTGGCAATCACCACGTGCTGGACCTCAGTTAGCAGGTCTGGGTGGAGGCAGGATGGGTCGATGTGGACCGGGGCCATCAGTAGGGGTGACACCAGTTCCCCCTCCATTCCCATTCCCAGACCCATCCCAGGTCCCAGTGCCCCCCGTCTGGGAGACAGCAGCTCCCCGTTGCCTCCGTAGATGGGAGGAGCCGCCCGGCATGTCTCTGGCCTGTCAGTGCCCTGATCTGGAGAAGCAAAGGAGATGCCAGGGTTCAGGGGTCAGTGACTATATCAGCGGGGCCTCCAGAGGTCAAGGTGTGTTACACGATCAGAAAGGGACGGCTATAAAGGCAGAGAGCAACTTGACACTGTGATGGAGGGTAGCTGAGCTAGAAAAACAAAGGTTTCTGATTTCTCCTCTGATGCTGTTAGTGGAAGGAAAATGAATGCAAAGAAACTGCAAGAAAAATCAAAATTTTATCCAGAAAAGAAGACAGAGAAGACTCACAGACATGAGCTCAAATACAGACTATGCATTGTCAGTCACTAAGCCTACACCCCAGTTTGCCCTGAGGACAAGCATTAGTTCATTAGTAAATCTACCTTCTCAGATTTTTAGCCTTTCAAGTCACTTTTAGCAGCAAGAAAATTGCTTTGCCCCTCACACTCAGGATCATAATACATGGAGCCCCTCTCACCCCCGCAGGATTCAAGCTTAGGAACCCAAAACCACTGGTGACTCTGTTTTGGTACATTAGCTGGTTGGTCAACTTGCTTATGAATATTTTTTGGGGACTTTTTTCCTTTTTTATTAGATAGGACAAGAAAGAGGGTAGAGCGACAAGGGATGACACGCAGTAAAGGGCCACAGGTTGGATTTGAACCCATGGCCGCTACAGCAAGGACTCAGCCTTTGTACAGTGGGGGGTTGGGGGTGGGCTATCTGGGGGAACCATCCATTTCTCACTGGCATATTTTTTTGCTGTGCTGACACTTACAACTAGTCAAAATTACATAAATAATGAAGATTATTAGGCAAGATCTAAGGTTATGAGGAATTTTCATTCTGAACACCAGAGATACCACTGTCAAAGAAAAAGGTTTCACTGATTCCAGCAGTTTGTAGATCATGTTTTTTAGTCTGACTGAATTATTACTCTGAGAGGGAGTGTGAGCTTTGACACTGCTGCATTAATCAGTTTAATTTACTTATGACAGTGTTATAACCCCAGAGTTAGCAGGGAGAGGTAACACTGGGGTTAAGATGATCTACACTGGGTATATGGATGATCTTGTTCAGTTGAAAAAACACCCAAAACTATTCTGAATCTTTCAGAAATGTACTTTTCCTCAAGGCTACTGGTGTTAGTTGAGAACATGTAAGACATGCACTGCTAGCACAGCGTTAAGCAGGTAGATGGGAGGGACGGAGAGAAGGGGGATGTGGGGAAGAAGATGTCAGGTGGGAGCGGAGAGGGGCTTATCTGGTTGACATACCCTCCAGCAGGGTTGTTCTATAGTCGACTGACTCGTGGGAGACCATTTCGTTAGTGGGGCTGACGCTCCTCGCGTTAGCCAGCCTGTCCAGATGCTGGATGTGACCCCGGCCATCATACCACACCTCAGACAGATCTAGAAGTGGAGGGAGGCGGGTGAAAAGGGAATGACAGAGACATAAGAAGACAAGAAGCGCATAGACAAAAAGGTGAGATGAAGAATGAGAGAAAAGATAAAGGGGAGAGGGGGGAGGAGAGAATTACTAAGAAAGGCAAAGCGGTTCACCACTGCGCCCCACACACAATCTTACTGTAAACCCATCAGACCAAACAAAACCCGGCAAACACACATGCACACAGGTTAGAAAAAACACACTGAACTCCAGGTGCAAGTATGCAAATATATAGACACACACACACACACACACACACACACACACACACACACACACACACACACACACACACACACACACACACACACACACACACACACAAGCAAATACACACATCAAGGCTGGGGTCACTTTACTTTTCTACAACTTGTTCAAAATATAAACTACTCGAAAATATGATTGGCCTGTCACTGATATAGGGCATTTTACTACATGCATATAGTGTAAATGCATAATGCATATTCAATAAGTTTAATGCCTATATACTGTATATTTCTAACTTCAATGTCAATGACTTTGTAACAAATCACTCACATATTTATCACAATTTACATATTTCCCCTCTGGTTACATTTGCCTGCTTCTGACTGTACTGCTACCTTCTTATCGCCAAATACTTCAAATTCACTCAATTTTCCAACAATTACTGCCAAACATTTCATAAACTGACGAGACTTGATCTGACTGGACAGTCTGATTACCGTAACATAATATTTCAGAGCAGATTACAAAGGACTGAGAAATAAATCAGTGTCACTTTCACTGTCTAAGATCAAAGCTGAGTTTAAGATGTCTCTGAATATATGGCAGCCGCTGACCTTTGACCCTACCAGAACCTGACATCTCTGCTCTTACCATCAATGTGTTTGTTCCTCCTCCACATGAGCAGAGTTCCCAGCAGCAGCAGCAGTAGGCTAACACACACACAGCCCACGATGAGGCCTGTGTAGTCCTGTTCCTGAGCCAGCGTCACCTTGCCCAGATGCCTGATGGAGTCCGCCTGGCGCCACTGAAAGAAGTGAAGGAGTTTGTGGTGTTATAGAGTAAAGGAAGTGCATTTTAGTAACACAAATAATTACTATTGAACTACCCTCCCTCCACAGGGAGGTGAGAGGTCAGGTTTCGCCACTTAAGAGCTGGTATAGATTCAGTGTAGAGGTCTGAATCTCAGCTCAACATTAACTATCATTAACTAATTTGTGCAACAGTGACTATGAAACTAACGTGTTCAGCTTCAGCTTTAATGGTGTTTGACATTGTGTAAATCCATACTGGGTGAGCAGTGTAGGTCTTATGCACAGTCCCCCATGGATTTTATTAAATTCTTTAATTCTGTCTTGAGTTTCAGCACATGCCCGACAGAGCTTCACCAAGTGTCTGTTGATGTCTGTGGATCAGAGACGTCAGGCAGTCACTGACTGTAAAGGATCTGACACTCAACATTTCATATGATGACTTAATTGAAGTTTATGTCCAATTACTGCCTGTTTCCCTAATAGTGGAGTACTCTGCCACTCTTACAAACTGCACTATATATAGGTAGATGCTTGATAAACAATGACTACCACTGCATAGATCACACTCCGCATTATGGCATGCATGCATGCATATATTGTGCACACACAAGCATTTAAAAGGCATGCAACTGGCATTCAGACATATGGTAGGGTATGGTATGGACATACACACACCCACACACACACACACACACACACACACACACACATACACGGTCTGTTGCCACAGTCTGGAGGCAGATTACATCAGTTATATTGCTTCTGCCATTATTAGGTTTAGTGGAAATGAGGTTTCTACTGCTGCCTGCTGCTGCAGATTGGACAGTGTGTGTGTGTGTTTGTATGTAAGTGTGTGTATGAGTGTGTATCTGGGTATGTCTGCAGGTAGGGGATACATGAGTGTGTGTTTGTTTATGTTTGTGGAGCTAAGGGATATTGCCTGACCATCCCCTGAGATAAAGGCTTTCTTCTGAAGGCCAGTTCACAAGTCAACAGCGATGAGGTTGATAACGTCTGGTCTGGAGCACGCCGCTGTTTCTCCAGAAGGCGACCATTGGATATTTATTAACTTTAAGGATGACACGAGGACATCTGGAGCTCAGCATCTAATATTAGTTTGCATTATAAAGGTTAGATATTTCTCTTATTAACCTACTAGGTTTGTTGCATAACAGGATACAAAATGTCTGGAGAAGCTCCTAAAACACAAAATATGAGATTTAGCAGTGCATATATTCAATGTGTGAGGCTCAATGCACTTGCAGAGTTATGTAGTCTATAGAACTCTCTATCCCTTCAGGCACCTCAACTACCTCTGCTTCAGTTTCAGTGCCTTTTTGTCCCTACGAAACTGAGCGAGAGCTCAAGGAAAAGATGAGACATCGCAAAGCAGGAAACCTTCAAGTCAGTGTGAAGTGACTGTCTGGATTGTTGATAGATTTCTCTCTGTATGATTGCTGAACATGTTTACCTTGTAGCTCTCTCTTTTTCTTAAAAACCTGATACTCCAAAACCTGATATTCACTGTTGATGTTCAAAATCACTGAAACATTTCCTGCTGTCATACTCCACTTTAGCTGCTGGAAAAATGTTGACATGGGGCTGTGGTATGTACATTTTAGGAAGTTATCCACGAAAAGAATTAAAATACACTAAACAAAGAAATTAACTTGGAAACGTTTTCCACAACTGGAATGTTTCTGTGGAGCACAATGAAGCTATAGCGTCATCATACACACTGAGTTTGATCATTTATATGTGTTCACTGGCTCTGTAGATTTAAAACTCTTTAAACTTTGGCTGAAAGTTTTATGTCTTCACATCTGACCACATCTTGATCTGTGTGGTCAAAAGTGTGCTTTGTTGCACTATGTCCAAAAGTGATGTCATAGCGTCCTGGAGTACACCTATACATCATTGCAGCAAGGTGAGTAGTTAAACCACTGTAGGTCAGTATAAACTATTTAATCCCTAAATAAACACACAACGTTTCTTTTTAAATGAATATTTGAATCTTTATGATTACTATTATCTTATTTCTCACAATGCAAGCCACAGGAGTTAGACCTTACAGATTCTGCACTGTTTAAACTGCTTCATCATTAATAAAAACATTTCCATACTGTCCCCTTCTCACGACTCAGACGATGCTCAAGTGACAAGACAGCTGGATGCTGAGCCCTTTCACTCAACACACTGTGTAATAAATTCTCCCTGAGCTGGTTTTATAAGGGACTGCATTAGGACAGGAGAGTTATTGAAGTCTCCTGTAAATGATCTGGAACGCCGAAGGAATGTGGTGTTTTCCATGAATTTCTAAGAGCACAGAATGAAGAGCTCGGTATGGCCGATGGCAGAATGATCCTGTTACTGCCTTCAGAAAACTCATACAGTGAAGTCGGTCTTAACTTTGTGTTTCCTTATTGACAAACTGGAATCAAATGAAAGAAACCTGAGGGTAGTAAGATGTTATTCATTTGTAACTAAGTTAACGACATATAAGAATAATCATGACTATTCGACTAGTTATTTCACATACTTTATCCATCTATCATCACTGTGTGTTATGTTCTTGCTATGCGGCGAGTCAGCCTTGCCCTCCAAAAAAGCAGGTGCTGTGATATGATATGATACCTTTTATTGCTAAGATTCCTTCCGTGAGCCCCAATAATACAAACAGAGGGGAATTATTCAAATAAAGCATTATAAGTGGCTTTATGGATCTCTGCTTTATTGTATCCACTTGTCTCGGAGCAGATGTTTGATACAGAATATCTGTTTACAAAAGCCTCTCTTTCAGACTTCTTGGCTCGCGGGGATATTTGTGCTCACAGAAGTAGGGCAGATCTGGTACTATCACTGCAAAAATCCTCCATCATGAAGAGTCATTTGATCTCATGTTGAGCCTTTAAGAGTTTTTTTTGTAACACAGGAAAGAATTCTGCTGCAAGTCGGGTGAGATAATTCCACTTGCTGTTTCCCATTGTTTACAGAGGTTTACCAAGAAGTAATTGAGAGGCAGGTTAATGCAGATCTGTGCAATGGTCTGAGGAAAATTAACAATGTCTATTCAGTGTTTGAAATAAGCCTAATTTGAAACGCCATGTTTACTTGTTTCAGGTTTTAAAAAGAAAGCAATGTTGTAATAAGGTAACGTTTTACAGGGGAACGTTTAAAACTTAATGAATTGCCTTTTTACACACAGGTGTGTCTTCCAGATTTCTCTACTATCTGAGAAAAATATTTGCATGCAAATTAAATTAATCTGAGCATCAGCAAACTGTTTAACACACACATACACACACACACACACACACACACACACACACACACACACACACACACACACACACACACACACACATGCTTACACAAACACACACCCTGCACTGCCATCCAAACACCACTTGAAACACAAACTGAAGCTTTTCTCTTGCTGTGAACATGCAGGGAAGCTGGAACAAAATGTCTATGGAGTGGAGTGAAGACGATGTGTGTGTGTGTTTGCTTGTGGCTGGGTGTGGATGTGTGTTTGTGGTGAGCTAGGTATCTGTTAACAAAAGGGTGTCTTAATTAAAAAAAGTGGGTTTGTTGACCAACTGTTGTACAGGTGTGTGTGTGTGTGTGTAGGTGCATATACCTGTGTATGTGCGCCCCTGTATAAAGCAAATTGCATGTGTATGCAAATTGCAGGTGTGACTCACCTCCACCTGCAGCTCCTTGGCGGGGGTGGCATGCAGCTCGGTGGGAACGGTGCACTCCAGAGTGTTTCCGACCAGAGTCAGGCTCTCACAGCTGTGGTTGGAAACAGTCAGAACCTGACACTTCATTGCCTCCCTGTCCATCCGGTCACCCTGCAGGGGAGGGAAAAGGGGAGGAAAGAGATGGACAGAAGTCGCGGGGAAAGACAGCAAAAAGGAAGGAGGGAAGGAAGGAAGGAAAAACAGAGGTCAAGATCAGCAACATTACAAGAAATTATTAATATGTTCAGTGAATCCAGATAAAGAAATTAAACACACTAAATGTTTCCTTTCAAAATTAGGTGGCAAAAAACAAAAGTGCCAACTGAAAGGCTCCTTTATGACTTTTAGGTGAAAAGATCTTGCTCTCTACTTCGGTATAAATCAATCACAGGCCACCCGGCGTGTTTCTTTGCAGTTTACAGATCTCTGTATTTGACACTTTTAGAAGTTTCCTTGTGCAGCTTTCAAACTATTTACGGGACTTTTAAAAGGCCAGTAAGTGACATGGGTGTATGGTTGACAACATGATATAAACTTTACAGTTTAGAGCCATGGCATGTTTAGGATACACTGGAATTTATCTTCAAATGTGCTGGAAAAGACTGTACAAACTATCCTCAGTGTGGTGAGGTAACTGAAGAAAATTTGGTGCAGGTCTCTTTTCTTGGCAGAGCTCCCCACGAATCATACTGATCAAAAGCACTGAGCATGAACTGAGTCTGCTGCTTTGATTGAGACAGAGCAATTATTGACCTCCGGTGGGATGACAACAAACACCCCCTCTGAGATCTGACTGGAAGCACACACAGCGATTGTCCATGTGACTGTGTGTAACTGTTAGTGTGTGCCGTTTGACGGGAAGCTACAAAAGAAAAGCGCAGCGTAATTTGTTCTTTTTTCTCCGCTCTCAGATTTGTTCCCTTGCTTGCTCCTCTCGTTCACTTTTGTTTCTCTGATTCCATCTCTCTCCCTCTCACACACATAAACACACTTGTTTGAGTGCAGCAGAAGGCAATAAAGGGAATGATCACATTCCTTGCGTGACAGCTTTGGATTTTCCAATTTGACACAGAGTGGAGGCTTGCACCTGTTCCTGCACTCTCTCTCTCTCTCTCTCTCTCTCTCTCTCTCTCTCTCTCACTCTCTCACACACACACACACACACACACACACACACACACACACACACAGTGCCCTACAAAGCAACAGAAACCACTAATTCACCCACTTGCTTGCAATTAGAAAACACACAAAGACAACACTTGGTAACAAGATCATCCAATACAATCCTTATTCAGTATGTTTCCCAGCTGTGGCCGTGACAATACTGTACGCACAGCACAGAAGAGTTATTAAACTTATTAAAAAGCCGTCACAGTTATACCAGTCACTCTAAATAAACTGTTACAATTCTAATTGGAAGTGAGATCCTTCTCAGTCTCCCGTGATGTGATCTGCAGCGATAAGAGCCTGGCCACATGTCAAGATCAACAGCCTGGTTCTTTCGTATTCTGCCATGCTGGTGTGGAGCTGTCAGTCAGAGCTAAATGTTCCTTTATTTATTTGTTATTGGCAACCATTTTGAAGCTAGAGTTATCAGATGGCGCTAAATGAGCCCTGCATTTGCCCTGCAGGCCACTATTATCAGATGGTGGTAAATGTGGCCTGTTTCAGTGCGATGCCTGGTCACATCCCCCCTGGGTAAAAACTTGTCTGGGCTGAAAGGAGGGATGAAGGGGGGATAGAAGTTGGGTTGGTGGTGGATTTAGAATCGGGGCCAAGGTCACGTCTGGGAAAAGGGAGAAAGAAGAAGAGAAAAAATCCCCAACCAGGATCCCCTGCGAGAGGTTCAGCACAGCTGCCACAAACCATCGAGGTGCAGTCAACAAAAAAATGAAAGAAAGAAAAGAGGAGAAATACGTATTTCATTGTGTTCCTAAAACAGGATCTTGGGAATGTGGTGGCTTGTTTGAAAAGCAGCATTAATATGTCAAGAGCTTTGACCTCAGCAGCCAGAACAATGCAAGTCAACAGAGAGAATACATAGAGGTATAGCAGTAGAGAGGGGATGGGGAGGTCGGGATGGGGGGTGGAAACGATGGGAAACAGACTGCACTTCCTGTTTTTCTTTCAGTATTGTTTCCTTCCCAACTTGACCTGGAACATGGAGGGCAGTATGTGAAAATGTGTGGATTTGGGAGGCAAAGTGCAGCCACCAGAAGAATAAACATCAACCTGGTTCCAAATTGTGAGTTCATCTCATTCAGAAAAGTTCTGTACACTACATCTCTAAATCAAAATTTCTTAAAAGTGTCATGCAGAGTTAAAACATCTAACAAATATTTGGATTTTCTTGATTTTATTAACAAGTAGTACTCTGCAGACCTGCAGCAGTCTTGTATGTTTGTCAGGGTTAGCAGAGTGGTGCAGGGGTGTCAGTATTTCTTGTCTTCTGTTTTTCGCTCTTCCTGTTCTGTGAAGCCCTTCTTAAGATTTAGAAATTTGCAACAGCACATAATTAAACATTTTCTTACTTAACAATCTTAAACTGGACCATTAGAGTCTGACTAACTGGAGTTCTCTTAAACAATAAACAGTCACAGTTTCCTCTCTTTTAACAACCAACTGTGGTGACGCAACTGAGAACTGAGCCTTTTATTAGCAGTATGACGGAGCTGAAGACGCAGGATTTTTACTGTTGTCTTACCTTGAGCTCCACAATGCTTTTGTTGTCCTTGGAGGTGAGCTTTGGGTCCTGGAAGAGGGGGTCCTCCACATAGATCAGGTCCCACTGATTCGTGTAGTAGCCGTCCAGGACGAACGCCACCTTGGTGACGACGGGCGGCTGCAGAGCCAGTTTGGCCAGAGAAGGCGTGGTGCACTGAATGGACGTCCGGTTCTCACCATACACGCAGCTCTAGAGGAGAGAGGCAACACAGACAGACAAAACGTATAGGTTAGAACAACTGTGCATCCAGTGCCTTTGTAAGAGCGAGTTTGACTTTGGATTGATTTGTTGTTTGTTTGTCAACTGGTCCACTTTCACACTTGTTTGTTATTGCAGAGATCTGTGGGAGATTTCCTCGTTAAAGTTCAGGTGTCTATCACCCAATGTATGGGTGGTCACGGCCATATGAGCACAACTAAAGGAAACACGACCTTCTGTAGCTGCTGCAACTAATACAAAGAATGAGCTCCCATCTTCTTCTACTGAATTCATTTTTTGCTCATACCACAGTGAGGCATTGTATCTTGTTTTCATGCTAATAAAACAGGGATATAATATGAAATGTGCACGCAAATTACTTTCTTGTGGGAATATGTAGCGTGCATTTGGGTACAATTTATTGATTATTCATCTGGGTTGGGAAAAAGCATAACCAAATTTAGATTCTAATAAGATTCAGACAAAACATGTCATTGTGAAAGCTCTCTGCACCCTAAAGCAATGTGTTTCATTGCTGTAACAGTGCAAAACAATCTACTGACTCCAATTGTTGTTCTTGGGACATTTTGGTCCTTTAAAGTATGATCATACAAGTGCACACACACACAAACACACACGCACACGCACACGCACACGCACACACACACACACACACACTGTTTGCACAAAGAGTTTATCCACCTCAGCCTCTCAGCTTTCCTACTACTCCTCCAGGTCTTCCGTCACAGTTTAGAACAACCATGCAGTAATCCTTAGTTTGGCAGCTTCTTTTATGCTCAATACATTATACGAGACACCGCCTGTCTTTTAGCCACTGAGGTGTTTATGCACTGCCTCAGGGCACAACAGAGTTTCATCCCATGTTGGATTCAGCCCACATAGGCTTCCCAGCTTTTGTGCTCATTAAGACCGCCCAGTGAGAGACAGAAAGCTTAGAAAACATTCTAAGTCCTTTTTGATTGAGGTGTGGCAGAGTTTCATCTTGTCTGGAGAGAAAACAGGAATGTAATGGGGATAGAGGTGCTGGGGTTTACATCTCCTGTGTTCACGTTGCAAAGATCTAAACCTTATGGGACTGCATTAAGGTTTTAAAGGACCAGTGTGTAGGATTTAGCGGTGAAGTTACAGAGAGTGTATGGTGGCAGCGAGAAATGCTAAAGGCCCTATCTACAGCCAGTGTTTGTTTCGTCTGTAGAAACATAGCTGACTCCATGGAGCCAATGGCTTATTCTGATGTAATGATTCCTGTATTCAGCTGATTATACACAAATAAAACCATACCTCTAAATATTATGTTCCATTTCTGCCAATAGATCCTCCTGAATGTTACACACTGGAGCTTTAACTGACCTTGTACTGGTTGCTCAAGAGGACTATCTCTTTGAGAGCTGGACTTCATGTCTGTGTTTGCTCATTTGTTTGTGTATTAACATTTTTTGCCATGTACGGGAAAATGCAGCATGCACTGTTTAGGTGGCACCGAGCCACAGACTCACATAAGGGAAATTAATTTGTGCAGAAGCAAGTGGAAATGGAAGAAGTCACGTAAGCACTAAGAAATATATCTCAGTGATTTTATTTAAATGTTTAGGTTCCTTAAAGTTTATTATGATGGCAAATGTAGTTGAATTTCATCAACTTGCTGATTGCCAAATATCTTTAAATTATTGTTAATCATTACGGTATTTTCCCCAGTTGAACTATATATAGTAAGCCCTAGCTGGAGAGTGGAACATATTGACAGCTGGGCAGAAACATTAGATCTAAATCAAGATTAGAGCTCCAAGTACAAAGCGATCATTGTTTAAAATCTGCCAAAACGTAAAATGTGGCACATCTTACCCAAAAGAAAAATATTCCTACACAAGTGCAAATAAAGGCTTGAAATTCACCAGCAGGAACATATAGTAAACGTTACACTCTTACACAACGTAGTAAACAGTAAAGTCACTGAGCGGTCCAGAGTTTGACAAATAGAGAGTGGGAGGAAATTTGGGGAGGGAGCCATCTTGAAGGGGATCAGCATCCAAGTGGGGGTGTTAGTGGGTTCTGGGGCAATGTTCCCAGAAACAAGAAATCAATAGACAGCCTAAAAGGGATATGGAAAACAAATGGGTACTAATCTGAAAGCTGTTGTTGATATTACTTGACAAGCAACAGTAAGAGTAAAGACATCTATTATCCTCTTTTCTCCCCATCAAGTGCAATTTCATTCTTGGACCACAGCAGACCTCACATTTTTAGGGTCCAAAATGTAGGTTCCATATTTCTGTGGGAAAGCTAAGGTGAGAATAAAAAGGGAGGATGAGGTTTAATCATCACAGAGATTGTAGTGGATTCATTATCTAAAGCAAATATCAATGGAAGTGATACAAAAGCCGTTACAAAGAGAGATGGCGTGATATTCCTCTACACAGGTGCACCCAGAACAAACCAGACTCGTTTTTATGCACACTGAGAGATCAATGTTGATATTTGTGCTGTGGTGGCCAATCATACTGTGTTTATTTTTTGGGCAACAAAGGTACATGTGTCCTTGAATCGATCTCCCACGAGGACAGGACGTGGAAAAAAAGGTGTTCGGATCAATGTGCAAATGCCACCTTTAGACTGTTGTTTAGTGAGTGGGCGTTAGTGTAGTAGTAGTTTTTGTTTTCATTTAATTGACTCATTTACAAAGCATGACTGATACTGAGGGAGGAGGGAGGGAGGGGGTTGGTATTTAGGATCCTACTGGATGTACTGGCTATAGTACAGATTAACAAAGACACACACTTGTGTTTTGCTTTTTGAGCTGCAAACTAAAAGTTGCATGTCCGTTAAGGGTCTCTCCTTCTAGAGAACAAGAGTTGGAGTACTATTACATAGCAAATATGTAACTTTGTTTTTTCTTACATTGAAGACAAACATCAACCCAGTGTGTTCATGTACAGCAAAGTATTGAGCAGGCTTTAAACTCGGCTTGAAAACAACTTTCATTCTCTCGACCCTTTTCAGCAAATTCACTTAGCCTACTAAAAGGCAGTCATAGAAGGCAGAATAGGCCATTAAGACCCTTTCCACCGAATTACTGTAGCTTCCTATTATAAGTTACTGTGAGCAATAGGGTCCAAAATGAACACACTACTTTCTGACAAAGTTGGAGCCATTTTTTATTTGTATTTTGTCTATGTTCTTGTCACAGGTTGCACTGTCTTTCTGTAATACTTTTCATTCCATTAAGTTTAGGTTTGGCTATGTTTCATATTTTCACTTTGTGAAACAAAAGAGACTAGGTGGCAGCCTGACAAAGAAGAAATACAGACCCTGAGGCTAGACATATGTCAACAAATTTGGAAATGTTCCTTCAGCTTCACAGGTGGGCTAAAAGACATCATAGTAAATCCCAACACATATAATAATAAATACCACAACAAGCACACGTTATTGCATTAGACCTTTGTTCTTGGTTGCTGCCACAGCTTTAGAGTGTCTCAGCTTCATGAATTCTTTAAACCAATTAGACCGATTGGTCACCGCTGCACGATGGACTACGGTCTGTAAAGTTTGTTATGCTACAAAAAAAAGCTCAACAACTTCAAATCTGACTTCCAACACATTGACTGATATCTGACTCCTTGGAGAGCCACTCTGACTACAGTAGCAGCAGCTCTGTCAAAGTACTGCTGAAACTTCCTCATACACTTCCAACATGACTCCCAAGTGAGCTATAGCAGCCCAGATGGACACACACAAACACACACTCAAAGTTATGTGCATCCACAAATTACGTGCAACCACAAATTGAACACAAGCATAAAGCAAAACACATTTAAAACATACACCTGCCTACAGAATGCGTGTGTGTCCATAAGTGTGAGGGTAGCGTTGCCAAACAAAGGCAATCCAATTAACCTTCCTCCTCCACACACCAATAAGGAGTGAGTAGAGCCGGGACTGTAGGGTAAACCTCCCCCTTCACCCCTCTCCCAGGGGTACGGCGAAAGGAAAAATATCCTGTGAATTAGTGGAAACCTCAGTCAGTTTCATTGTTCAGTGGATGTCTCCTCTTATTTGAGAGAGAGGAGGTGAAGGGCTGTAGGTTGGGAGCAGCTGTAAATACAATCTCTCTGAGAGCTGGGTAGCGAGCGGGCCGGGAGGTTTACTGTGGGGTGATGAGAGAACCAGCGATCCCGAAAACTCCGCCGTCCCTGAAGGATCATTAGTGTAACAGCCTGCGAAAAAGCCAAGTCATAACGGAGCTCCCACGTACAAATTTGCTTGTCAAATCTAGAGTGATTTATACCAGTGGAGTTTTCTGCTGTTTCCTACCATGCTGAGTTGTGCTATTATTTGCTTTGGATTTAAGTCTCCAGTTCAGCTGTGTCTTTGCTTATTAGCTTGATTTTTTAGGTGTAAATTTCACTCCTTCCTCTTGTGCATCACAACTGTACCTCCACATCATGTGTTTTGCATCTAGCCCTTTTTACAACTGAATGCTTCCTCTCTGTTTAAGTCAATGTTTTACCAATGTGCAAATGAGCAACACAAGTGTGCAAATGACTGACCATATACAGCCATTGTGCTCATGTTTGCAGAATCCAACTTTTTGGAATAATGTCTCATGATATGCAAATAAAAACACTACAAGGTACACGAGGGCTCTCTCTTTTGCCATTGTTGGCAATGCTGCACATCAGTTAGTACAACTGATTTATGCCAGTACTGGCATTTATCTAAATTCGCCACATTACAACAGGCACATTATAATGTACATAATTCATATCATTCCAAAAAAAGGTACTATACTGCAGTGATATTAACCTATGGCACACACAACATAAATTTTTGAACACACATGGACATGTGAGTATGGAGTATGAAGTTATAAACTGCTAATCTACAAGAGGTAAGCCAAGGCAATGTGCCAGTTTCCACATTAAATTAACTCTTTATAGGTAGTTGTGTGTTTAGCTGTATTTCTTATGGAG